GGGGGGGTTTCAATCTTGGATTGTGTATTTGATTTCTCATTATATGTACCATTTTAGATTCCATCCAGAATACTTGTCTGAAGGTTGATTTTTAAATTGGAGAAGCTTTTGAACTTTGGATAATTTATATGACTATTCTTGGCTTTGTGACGTAATTTTGAGATTTATAGTATTCTTTGTGTTTCCACTTGATAAAAAGAAATGTTGTGTGCGTATGAATCTGTTAACGAAATGAGCTTAGGGCCAGTGTGACAACTTCATGTAACTGGACTAGGTTTGAACTTCATCCAGTTATAGGGTGTTTTCTGATTGGCAAAAACAGGGCCATTTTATGTTTAAATATTCAAGCATCTTTTCTCGTCTTGAAGTGCCTCCGTCCAGCTCTTTTCTTTCTCCTTCTAAAGAAAAAAAAAAAAAAAGAGACAGCAACAAGTTAAGCTTTGACATTGATTGGATCTCGTATGTAACCTAACCTCTCCGTATAGGAGTTGATTAGGTGACCTTATCCAAGACTTGAAACCATATCCTTAAATCTATCAAGCCCACAAAAGGAAAAGAATAATAATACTCGTCATAACTGATGAGACTAAAAAAAAAAACAAAATAATCTTCAAAATTTGGTAAGACAAAACCTCCATCAATATTCAATACGACACCTAATATTTATGGGGCCATTTGTTAAGGGCTTTAATGATTTGTTGTCTATGAATCATACACTAATAAAAAAAAATGCAAGGCGTGTGAACTTGCTGTTTCTGAGCTGAACTTGTATAATTAAAACACTGAGTGACCGATAAAGTCGGTTTAATTAGTAATCACGCCTCACTATTGATTGATTTGGTGCCAATGGGGCCAAAACTTCATATCTAATTAAATGCCACAAGTTTATACTTTGGGATTCGTAGTACTTAGAACATTGATGTAGGCAGGACCTACATGTCTTCTTGTGATAAATATAAAATTATTGGAGTTCCCTTGTCTGTTGAGTGCAAGATCTAGAAGAAGAAAAAAAGGTTATATATAAATATAAACAAAACAAATATAAATATAGACATAGTTTTATTAAATACCACTGGTTATTAGGAGAAGTTAAACAGAAATAGAGTAACAATATATATATATGCATGACACAACCATTTGCGGATAAAAGCTACACAGAAATAATACGAGACAAAAAAAGCCAAATTATTTTAGTTCATTCAAATATCAATGTTAAATATCAATTTATATTGTTTGATTCAGGTTTCACCTTTTTTTTAATAGAAACCACGTGGCAATCATAAATTTAAAAAATACTCATTTCGCTAGAATGACACAGTATGCAAGAATGAATTAGAAAACAGCGCTTAAAGCTTAATTGGACGTACTGTGACATCAAAACATACGTCTCGATGTCACAAACTACGCAGTCTTTTTTCGTTTGAAGAAATTTAATTTTGTAGGCTGCTGCATGTATGTATTTAGCTCATTTTTCACAAAATTTAAAAAAGTGAATTACATGGAAATTCATATTTTTACTTATTATTTTTGAAATGTACACCGGTAATTTGATCCTTTGTAAAAAAAAGAATATTCCAATAGACCCCCAACATATTTCGCCCAGTAATTAGAAAAAAACTCAATATGGCAAAAACTGCAATTTTCTGAATATGTCGGCGAATTATCGCCGGCGAGGTTGAACTAACGTTAACATATATACATTTCACAGATTCTCGCTAGAGCTCCCATTCTACCCCTAAATCCGCCGCTGTAACTCCCCCCCGTAACGGTCCCACAACCTCACCACACTGCCGTCAAATGCCGTTAAGTCCACGTAACGATACCACCCCAAATCCCCTCTCATCCCCTCCGGTCTCCATAACGGCGTCTCTTCCTTCTCGTAGTCATCGTCACTAACGCCGTCACACTCGTAGCCGTGGCCGTTATCCTCCACGTGGAAGTACGCCGTGAACCTCCCCTTGGTCAGGGTGTACTCTCCCTTTCTGTCCACGTGGCATCTCCGCATTGGTAGATCCTTATTATCATTGGGCCCCACGATAACGTCTTCGGTGGGCTTTGCGGCATCTTGAGGTGGTTCGGGTTTCGGGTCGGGTTTGATTTTAGACCCGACGAGCCGGATCTGCCAGAAGCCGAGGGCCGCGAATACTACAGCGAGCCACGTCCATGCGGAACCGGCTAAGGCCGCGGAGTAGCGGAACGCGAGAGCTTCTAGAGGGGATTCTAACAGGTACATTTTGGGGAGAGGGTGGAAAGTTTGGAGGGTCATTTTGGGAGCGGAAATGAGGGGATATTTATAGAGGGTGAGGGAGAGGGATAAAATGGGAAGATGCTGGGAATCGAGAGCTGGAGATGCTGGGATTATGTGGGGAGTAGTTAGCACACGTGTAAGGTGAGGATTTGGTTGGTACTGTTTAATGATTGGTGGAGGTTTAAGGAGTGGGACATGCTTGAGTTTTGTGAGACTTGTGACTGGTCTGGTTTCGTATAAGGGGGTGTTTGGTGACATTTCTATAAATTATAAGAAATGTTTTCCATCCTAAATTTGATTTTCTTGTATTTCTTAAAAAAAATTATAGGAAAAGTTTTGAGAAGTTAAAAAGTACAAATTTTCTTATTTTTTGTATTGTGTTTGTTTGGTTCAAAACAAGAAAATGAGAAATAACTTTTGGGAAAATAGCAACATTTCCTATAATTTATAGAAATGTAACCAAACACCACAAACTTTATAGAAAAGTGAGAACTTTGTAGAAAAGAGTTAATGCGTTTTATTATTTAAATAATGAATGCGTCAGATTTCCCAGAGATTTCCTCCCATTTTAGAAGGAAATCAATTTCCATAAAATTTGGTACTTTTGGGCACTTTACAGAAAACATTTCTGTAAATTTTTTTGGAGCCAAACACCGTTTATAGAAATGTATAGAAAACTCTTAATTACATAAATGCCATGCGTCAGTACTTTTGAGAAAACATTTCTCAAAAACAATACAACCAAACACCCCCTAAGTTTATGTAGCCACTATCTAATTCCTTTTTCTTTCCCGTTTAAGCCATGATTGGGAGAATAAAATATCTAGAATTAATTTTTTACGCGCCGAAAATATATGTAGAAAATATATTAGTGTTTGATTGGTGGGTTTGCAAGTTAATAGACATGGATTTGTGTTGGTTTTGGTTGAGATAGATTTTCTTGATCATAATTTTGTTAAAAGTCTAATTAACAATTACTCAATAAGTTTAGTCATGAATTTGCTTAAATTGCGGTTCTAGTTGTTGTTACTTGTATGAATTGATAAAGAAACCTAAATTGATGGTATAGGCTTGACTTGTAACAGATTGGTTTTTTGTTTTAGTTAAAATAAAAATAAATATCACATGTGTGATAGGTCGAGTTAACTGGATCAGAATTATTCAAAAAGTTAATTCGATTCCAACTCATGTTATTTTTTGATCCGGTTAAAGAATAGAAAACAAGAAATGCTACATCAGAGTATAATCAGGAGTCTTTTCTTAGAAGTCAAATTACTTCATAATTGCAGTAAAAGTATATCAAATATACTATATGTTCTAATCTAGAAGTTGAATTAATATTGAACCATTCAATTTTGAATAATATTAAGAGTATATATTCCTGTCAATAAAATATTTTTTCTTTGCCCCCTCGATCGGACACTCTCTTTTTTCCAATATTTTCTCCACATATTTGAAGAAAAAGAATAATCGATTATGCATTCTTATGTATTTAACTTGAAGACGAGCAATAACACGTGCTCTCTCATACTCACACATAAACATTTCAAATTCTCTTCCAAGCGCAATACAATTGTCGTACTTCCAAGTTGAAGCACTCACGTTTATCTCATGCACATAAGAACTTTATTGAACAAGGTCATTAATCTGTGCGTTTACACTTGACCTCAATCTATATCCACACACGATATGCACCAAATTCCAAAAGGTCGATTGATGATGGGGGCCCAAAATTAATACTTCGCCTAGTTTGTGACGTTAGTGAAGCCTTACACGAGGAAAATTCTCTTTTGACTCCAATCTACATCAATGTGAATGAGCAAGAACAATTCGGTGTGATATTTCGTGATACAATTGAACGGGACCAAGAGAATGAACAGAGTTAACTTAACAATTATGAATTATCTTCCTTCTGGCATGACAATATATGTTGTTTTTGAATGAAGCATGCCAACTGTTAAAAATAGGAACATGACCTTAGTTTGATTCAGAGACATATGTTAATATGTTCATTTTCTTGATCTTTTTATTGTGCTTCTCCCTCTTCTTCTCTTTTCTCTTCATGCACAGTAAATGTATGTATTTCCTCTAGTTAATGAGTTTTATCTTAACCCCGTTACTAAAAGGACATTTGTTCTCTAATTTGATTGCATTCTTTTGTGAATTCAACAACTTGGGCTAATGTTCTGTTGTTTTCTCACGAGTTAAGAAACAACACCACGACAGTGTGATGATGTCATAATTACGTAATATATAATTATATAATAATATATATATAATATATTATATTATATTATAATATATATATATATATATATACTATATATGAAAAAATGTATGTTACCTCGACACTATTTTGCAAAAATGGAATAATTAGCTCCACTTCATGCTGAGCACCTGCCCTGTCACTTCGGTTGGGGGGCTTCAACATGTCATAGAGTGACGAACACCCACTTTTTACAAATGACTCGTTTGTCAGCTCATTTAGCGTGATATACTTATCTTTATATATATTATATTATATAATACTATATACTATATATAATATCATAATAACACTAACCTTATATATAATAGTATATATATATATATATATATCTATTATAGTATTTATATTATGAGTATATACGTTATAATTTATATATAGTAGTATATAGTATATATATAATATATATTATATATTTATTTGTTTCTGTTGAACTTATATGTTTGCTGTAACTTTATTGTGGAAAGTAATTGTTTTATTGTTTAAATTTGTCTTTTTTGGTAAATGAAAAAAAAATTATTCATCACCAAATGTAGAAATGAATGTACAACAAGAATCTCAACATATGTATGAGATAACAAAGCTGACATCTAGAGCTCAGAGAAAATAGAGCTCAATCAAACACTCCAAAAAGAAAACTCAGCAAATAAAAGTAGCTGAGATTAAGGATCAAACACTGGTAATTTTTCTCCTCAATGAATATCATAGTGAAATGATCTATTCTCTGTCTTCAGTTTTAAACGAGCCATTGAGAACATATGAGTAAATGTTGAATTTGATATCTTTAAAGAGCTGATCAGCTGGCCTTGCTTCCTATTTGAAAATCCTGAAATTCCTCTCTCTCCATATGCTATATATTGATGTAGTTAGAGCCATCTTTTTAATCCTTTGCTTGAATCCATTCCCCTTCAGTCTACCACAGCACCAATTCACAAGCTGGTTCTAATCACAGGACTGCCACTTGAACTGGAGCCAATCCATAACTTTTAACCATACTTCTCTTGAATAGCAGCATTCAAAGAAAAGATGATTTCTGTTTTCAGAACCAGTACACATACAGCAATTGTTAGTGTTCACTATTCCCCTTTTAATCAGTCTGTCAATAGTGAGCAACCTATTTTGGATTGCTAACCAACAGATAAAGGAGTGACTGGGGAAGTTTGTAGTCTCCCAAGCTGTTCTATGCCATAGAAAATTTTATGCTTCTGGTCTGTTTTGCCCCATAGAAAATTCCTGCACATTTGATCAATCTTCTGCGAGACTCTAACAGGTAAAACATAATTTGAAGTCCAATATATTTGAATGCCAAGTATAGCACTCTTGATCAAGGTTTTAAATGTTGGATGTCGGGTTCATGTCGGATGGCTGAAATCCATGTCGGGTAGCGGAAATCGGGGATATATCGAGGGGACATTGACTAAATATCGGATTTCCATATCGGATAGTGCGCATATGTATAATATCATGTCCTAAATGTAATCTAAGCATTCATAAATTCAATATAAGCATACTTTATAAATTCTATAGACTAAATATATAAAAAAGTAAATAATATATGGATTTGGGTTCATAATTCTTTCTATCGGGTTCATAAGAAACCCTTAAACATGAGAACGGGTCAAACAGGTTTGGGTATTTATCACTAAACCCAAACCCGATAACAAAAAACAGATCTTAAAAAAAAAGTACCATATCAGCCGATTTTTCAAAGCTTAAAAAATAAGCTGATATGCCCGATATGACCCTGATATTTTCGATTTGGTCCTGAAAACTGACATACGAGTTGAAAACGTTCATGTCGTGTCGGTCAAGCCCTCAAACCGATATGTCGGCCGACATGTCAGACATGTCGGCCGATATTTAAAACCTTGCTCTTGATAACCTGTAATCTACCAGCAAAAGACAGAATTCTATTTTTCAGACATGCTTGTAATTGATCTGAGATTTTGTTTAAAAGAGGAGAACAATCAGCATATGATAATCGTTAGGATATCAAAGGAACCCCCAGGTAATTGATGGGCAAAGCACCCTCTGTGAAATTCAGGAGATTTCTAATCAGACATTTGGCATAGTTATCATCACCACCGTAAAAAATCTTACGTTTTTCTGGATTTGCTACCAGACCTGATACCTCACTAAACTCCTTGAAGTAATTGAAAAGAAGTTTAACAGAATGTATGTCACCCTTTGAAAAGAGGAGGAGATCATCCGCAAATATTAGATGAATGATTTTTAGTTCACCACATCTAGGATGAAATTTAAATGATCTGTCCTCCTTGAACATATCCAATTTCCTTGACAGGAACTTCATACCCAATGTAAACAAATAAGGAGAGATAGGATCACCTTGTCTCAAACCCCTTTCTCCTTTGAAATATCCATGAAGAGTACCATTTAAGGAAATAGAGTACTTAGGAGATGTAATGCACACCATGATCCAATTTATAAAAATATCAGGAAACCCAAGACCTGTAAGCATATCTTTAAGAAAATCCCAATTTATAGTATCAAAAGCCAAGACCTGTAAGCATATCTTTAAGAAAATCCCAATTTATAGTATCAAAAGCCTTCTTGATATCTATACTCATCATAATCCTGGGTGAATTATGTTTTCAGCCTTCTTGATATCTATACTCATCATAATCCTGGGTGAATTATGTTTTCTGCCATAGCTCCTCACAATTTCATGAGCCATCAAGATATTACTTGATATTTGCCTTCCTTTAACAAATGCACTTTGAGCCTCATTTATCAAAAACCCATTACAGATTTAATCCTGTTAGCTAGTATTTTTGAAATGATCTTATATAGGCAATTACAACAAGCTATGGGTCTGAAATCAGAAGGGGTCTTAGGGCATTTCACTTTAGGGATTAAAGATATGGAAGTAGAGTTTATCATACCAAGGAGCTTCCCAGTTCTGAAAAACTCAAGAATGGCCTGTGAAACCTCATCTCCTATGATACTCCATGCAGACTTGTAAAAGGACATATTAAATCCATCAGGACCTGGAGCTTTATTACCATCCATGGAAAAAACAGCATTTTTGATTTCATCCTTAGTCACAGCAGTGGAAAGAGCAATTGTTTGTGCTTCATTTAAACAGCCCCTTTGGTAATGACATTACTATCGGGCTTTGGGGTAGTAGTTTTTTATCCCATAAGACTCTTATAAAAAGAGATAATTTCTTGAATGATTCCCTCACCATCAGTAATTTTGTCACCTGCACTATTATAGAGTAGATTTACTCTGTTGAGATGCCTCTTAGCCTTGATTGCAGAATGAAAGTAACTTGTACATCTGTCACCTTGCACAATCCATTGAATCCTTGATTTTTGCTGATAGAAGGACAATTCACACTCCAACAATCTATTAAAAGTAACTATGCATTCTTTCTCCTGTGCAATAAGTACTGAATTGAGAGGATCAGCTTGTAAGTTGTTTTGAGCTTTTTTCAGATTTATCTTTGCCCTATTTACTTGTTCACTTATATTATGAAAAATTTTCCTATTGAGGTCCTTCAGAGCAACCTTCAAAAGCTTCAGCTTGCTAGCAACAGAGTACATCTTACAGCCAGTAATAGATGTTTGCCATATAGAAGAGACAGTGGGAATGTAATCTTCATGCTTAATCCACATCTTGAAAATTTTAAAAGGCTTTTTACCTTGAACACATTCATCATAAATTGAAACCAATGCTGAAGAATGGTCTGAGAAACTAGGTTGTAAAAACTCCACATGATTGGAATTATAAAGATTTAGCCAAGCATCATTTACCAAGGTTCGATCCAACCTACTCCAAACTCTTGAGTTTGCTTCTTGCTTGTTATTCCAAGTAAAATGACAGCCTTCAGTTTTCATGTGAGATAGGTGGCAATCATCAATGAAATCCATGAAATCCGTAGTTTTAGTCTCAGTTACCACTGCACCACCCAGTTTATCATCACTTCCAGTGATAGTGTTAAAGTCACCACAAAGAATCCAATGCTTATTTCCAGCAGATAACCTGGCTTGATTTAGCTCTTGCCAAAGATCTCTTCTATTTTCCAATTGATTATGACCATATATTGAAGTTATAATAAGACAATCAATCCTGCCATCAAAAGATCTAACCAAGCAAGTGATATGTTGAGATGATTGACTGTCAATTTGAACTTCCAGGCTATTAGGATCCCAAAGAAGAAGAATTCTAGCTTTGCTAGAGTTATGATCATTTGAAAACCACTTCCAGGTGCTAGCAATTTTCTTAGATACAACAGGTAGCTTACTAGTCTTGATTTTTATTTCAAAAAGAGCCATAAAAGATATAAAATACTGTTGAATATGAAGCTTAACAAGATGTTGTTGTTTGGTAGAAAAATTCGATGTAAAAGAAACGAAAGAAAAATTGACTTGTATCCTCTCAAAATCGATTACAATTCGGATTCCGATTACAAAAGAGAGGAGAATGAGTTTGATTCTCCCCTTTATTTAAAACTGGGTTCTTCTTGGTAGCGATGGAGTGCATCCTTCGATTGCTTGTGTCGAACTCGCTCTCCGTTGACAATACGACCGTCTTATCTCGTGGGAATGATGAACTTATGTGGAAAGTTTGATGGGTAACTCTTAACGAGTTTAAGAACTCTGAACAAGTTAGAACTCTGTGAAGAGAGTTGTTAGAACCGAAAATTCGGTTAATGACCAAGCAGATGTTCTGTTGTTGAAGAATCCTCTTAGATTTGATCTTCTGAATTTGATTCAAATCTTCTATCTCCAAGGAATTCGCCTCTCCTGCCTCTCTGTGCGGTTGAGATCCTGGAGAATTCTCTCTGCTGCCGCCTCTCCGTTCCAAAAAGCCAGCCCTTCACTCAGTTGAGTTTGTTGAGATTTTATAGGTGGATAAGAGGTTGTAACTGCCCTCTAAATCCGCTCCTAAGTGGGCGTGATTTCCTCAGATCGTGGGGAAAACAGTTCTGAAACCGTTCGACTCATGTTTGAACGAGTCAAACGCCAAATCTGGCAATCAGGACCCTAACTTCGTGTCTTAGAATTGAGACGCGAGGTTGGGTGTTGACTGAACATCCAGAACGCGAGGGTCGCTCGTGTTTTGCTTGTTGCAGCTTGGAAACGCGGGGGCCGGGTGTTGGTTGAACATCAAGAACGCGAGGGTCGCTCGCGTTTTGCTCGTTGTAGCTTGGAAACGCGAGGGTCGCCTGCATTTCCAGAATTGTAACACGGGGATGACTTCCGCGTTTTAGAAGGGGTTAGTTGATTTGTAACCTCTTCTACAGAGCGTTGCAAGGACCGTTGTTCGGTAATCCTGGCTTTAGCTGTTGTAAGGTGTGAAAGTCGTCAGATTGTAACTTTCACTGTAGATTGTGAAGACTGGTGAATAGAGTTTTCATCAGTTGTCGGAAGTGTCGTCAAATTATAACTCTTCTCGATCTATGTGAAAAGTCCTCCATTTGCAGCTTTCGTTTGTTGACATGAAAGCTATCTGATTGTAGTTTTCATTGTTGGAACTTGATGGGGATCAATTATCCATTGTGATTTTTAGACGAATATTTGCCCACAGCTCATTATCCATTGTGATTTTTAGACGAATATTTGCCCACAGCTCTCTACCAAGCAACTCATCAACTAAGTCCAACCTTTTATTTCTGAAATCATTATACTGCTCATCAGCATCTCTAATAGCTGCTAATATAATATTAGTCATGTTGTTGTCACAGCCATCAAGATCAATCATCTCAAATATGAGGCCATGTTTGTAGCGATTGTAGAGTTGCGGATGTAGTGGTTAGAAAGTCGTCTGATTGTAACTTCCATTGTTGGGGCTTGATAGGGATCATCTATCCATTGTGATTTTTAGACAGCCTACAGCTGCTTAAAAGACTTATTTAGCCCTCTAATATTCTAAAAAGAGAAACTCATAAACTTGTAAAGCCTCCCTGTCCACTGTAGAGGGATTATCATCCATGTTTTTAAGATAATCAAAAGAATTCCCCAAAACTCTAAGGCCAGATTTCTGCATAATGAGCCTTGACTTTATAGGTTGAGAGCTTATGGAAACACCAACACTTTTATCCTGATCATACATAACCAGAGAAGGTTTACTTGCTGAAAATGAGTTTTTCTCAGAAGTCTCCCCATCAGCAGTTTTGCCTATAAGGTTCTCTGAAACGTGCACAACATGCACAACATCTTGTCTGATTTGTTTGATTCCTTTTACTAGATAGCTTAGGTAAAGGATTTCTTTTACCAGACAACTTAGATAATGTATTTTGCAACCCAGAAACATGCTCTTGTTGTAGACCTTGAACTGTCATAGCATCATTTCCTGCCATTTTGTTCAAATCACCAGAAACAGCATTTCCAGCATTAACAGTCTTCTCTTTTGGCCTCCATCTTTGTGTCCTAGGATTTTTCCTGTAATAGGTTGTATCATGGCCCACCATCTTACAATTTTCACACCATTTAGGTTTTAATTCATATATCACTTTTTGATTTATAATCTTTCCATTTGGTCCATGAATAGGAATCAGATCAGGAAGGGGGGAGGGCATATTTACCTCAACTAAGACCCTTGTATATGCCAATCTCTGCTTATTAGCAGTGAGCTTATCAGTGGCTATAGGCCTACCTATATGACTAGCAATCTTGCTTATGGCATTTGAGGTCCACAGATTTAGCCTTAAACCAGGAAGTTGAATCCACAGGGGATAGACATTTCCATTCATCTTCTCAATATCATCATCATTAGTCCAGACTTTCAATAGAAGGGGTCTTGAACCAAAAAACCAAGGACCATTCATAAGTATATCCTCCATTTCCTCCTTGTTTTGAAATTTGAACAAAAACAAACCTAGCTTAAGTATACACAAATCAGGAACTGACAGTGTGCCCATACTTTTTGAATGTAGTTTTCCATAGCCTTGAATCTGACATTTAGGCCTAAAACTTGACCATTTAAAGAGAATTGCCTGTTTGAGTTACCCTCATTCCATTCTTCTTCATTAAAAGCCACAAAACCTTTATCTTCAGGGTTAACAAAATTCAGATTCATGCCACTACCAACTTTCCTATTATCAGCAAATAAGCTAGCCCAGCTTTTCTTGTTTTCCCCCTCAAAATTCACTGGAATTTCCTTAGAATCCAAACTAACTGGAATTTCCTTAGGATCCAGAGAATTAACTAGGAGATTAATAGCATTAGCAACAACAGAGCTATCAACAGATTTTTCTTTTGTTTTCGATGCAACAGTAACATCATCAAGAACTGAAGTCACATTCTCCAACTGTGATTTAGCATCTAAGGATCTAACAGATAAGCTTTGATGACAACTAGAAGCATCTAAATCAACTTCATCAGCCCAAGAGACCTTACCAGATCCATATGCTACAGGGTGAGAATCGGGAGATCCTTTAGCACCTTTAGCATCTGCATCTGATCGAGAGTCAAGAAAACCTTTGAGCTGTCGAGAATGAAATCTGATGATCGTCGGGGACGAAACCAGATCTTGATGAGATCCAGAGGTCGAATCCTTCAATATATCCACCATTAGCCTTTTTTTCTTCTCACCCTTAGGCCCCGTTGACCCCATTAGATCCAAGAAATCCTCATCATCCTCCAAGGATCCAGTATCAGAATCAATAGGAAGAGGAGAATTAGAAGTTGAAGCACTAAATCTAATTTTTAGAATTTTTTTCCATTATTTCTCTTTTTTTTCGCCATTTCAAACCCAGTGGGAGCGCAAAATAGCAGGGAAGAATTCGCCTGCTAATATACGCCTAACTAACCGCCATCTATTTTTAACATGACCAAAATTCAAAACTAAAAATTTGTTTTATGAACATAAAAAAATGAGAAACTTAATCAAAACAAAAAAATAACGAAATTATGAAGAATTTTTGAGTGTTCACATATAAGAATACATAAATTTAAAAATAAAATAAGCAGAAATAGTCTACAATATTCAAGTGAATCAGGGTTGATGATCGGTTGATAAATTCCTAGTTGTTATTGTAGCCATCATCTCTAAATTGTTTTAATTGTCGCGTACACGCAAACACACACAGACAAGCATGTGATTTTTTTATCAGTCCCTTATATCATTAGTATTTTGCTATTAGTCCCTTAAATCTCCATATTTTGATGTTAGCCCCTCAAAGTTCATAAATATGTTGATATGAGTTCCTATAGTTAATTGGTATTATAAATAATGGGGAATATTTTGTTATGTTTAATAATTTTTAAGGAAATTAATAATTATGCCCTTACTCCTAATACCCAAAACATACGTAACCATTAAGCTAAAGAAACTAAATAAAAGGCCCAATATGAACATTTCACAACTCATCTTCTCCCATGACCGAATAAAATGGTGAGCTCATCTTCTTTAACACATCGTTTTATTTCTAGAGGCTATAAAAGCCTATTAGAACTCCTCCATTGTGTGTGTGTGTGTGTGTGTGTGTGTGTGAGAGAGAGAGAGAGAGAGAGAGAGAGAGAGAGAGAGAGAACAACTCATCTTCTCCCATGACCGAATAAAATGGTGAGCTCATCTTCTTTAACACATCGTTTTATTTCTAGAGGCTATAAAAGCCTATTAGAACTCCTCCATTGTGTGTGTGTGTGTGTGTGTGTGTGTGTGAGAGAGAGAGAGAGAGAGAGAGAGAGAGAGAGAGAGAGAGAGAGAGAGAGAGAGAGAGAGAGAGAGAGAGAGAGAGAGAGAGAGAGAGAGAGAGAGAGAGCTAAACATCCATGGTTAGTCTAAACCTAACCATGATACCAAAAACATAACATAGAACTGATGTCTACATATTTTTGCAACTTGAGGGATTAATATCAAAATACTAATGATTTAAGAAGCTACTAAAAACCGTGTATGTATTAATATAATGTATATATTTTATGAATAAATGGAATACATGTTTGCTCTTATTAGAAAAGTTATTCTGCAGATAATGATCATCAATAAGCTACAAATTCTAATATTGTTCATTCTTGGGCTATACTCATCAAATTTCATGATATCTACTTGCTATTAAGATTCATCTTATTTGACAAAAAAAATTAAAGTTCTAGGATACTATTTGTAAATTAATAAAATTTCAAGGGTTTTTTTGAAGCGTTAGGACTATTTCTTCTATAAACTTTTTAAGTTCTTGTGTTTTATTAATTTAGCAAATTTTTTTGTAAAGATTTAAAATGTTTGTAATTTTGCATATTTCTTAAATTTTGTAAAATCTAGGCTTTCTCATAAATTTTGTAAAATCTAGGATTTTCTTGCAAAATTTTTAATATTTTAAAGTCATTTG